CTGACAGGGATTATGTCAATTCCCAACAGAGATGCATGACATTTTCAGGGTTTTCTGCAGTTATGTTCTAAACCTAAATATTTTACTGTTTGTTTGTTTTTTAAATTTACTTTTAATATTGTTTAAAATCATTCCAGTTCCCCTATTGTCTGTTTCAGACTGAATATATAGGGAAACAAGTTTTAACTACTTTGGTTAAATAAGTGTTGAACTTCTGCATTATTTCTGAATTGCTGATTGTCTGAGCAGATTTTATGACAGATCTGTCTCCTTTTTATCAACAGCTGAAAGCATTGGGCTCCAATATTGTCAGGGTCCCCGGTGATAAGTATGGTATTATTCCAAAAGCCTTGAAAGACATTCTTTTCAAGTGGAGACCAGAAAATGGAAGAAAACCCAAGTTCCTTTACATTATTCCAAATGGTAGCAATCCTGCTGGAATCTCACTGAGCACTGATCGCAAAAAAGAGATATACCAGGTATTTAGCAGCAAAATATGACACAGAATACTTTATCATAAATAATTTAGAAAATATAAAATAATATTTAAGTATAGTGAATAATAACGTTTTCTGAAGATCAAATGTTGATTCTGTTAGAAAAAAAACAAAAACACCCCTATATCGGGTCTCTTGTCACTGCTGGCTTCTTATATGATTCTCTTTATAGTCCAGAGGTATAATATGTAAAATGACTGCTACAGTATTTACCCTGTTCTGTTGCTTACAGTTGCACTATTTCTTCTCAGCCCATGTGCTAAAATACCATTAAAATAATTATTGAAAATAATTGCTTGCCAGTTTTCGAGAAATGATCTTTTTCAATTTTTCTTTAGCTAGCAAGAGAGTATGATTTCCTTATAATAGAAGATGATCCATATTATTTTCTTCAGTTTGTAAAGGTAAATATTCACTTCTGGTTATTGGTGTCAGTGTTACATATACTCTTTAACAAGCAGAAATAAACTTGGATCTGTCCTCATTTAAACAAAAATATTTAGATTATTTCTGAAACCAGTGTTGAGCATGTTGGAACATTCTTACATTTAAATATATCTTGGCAGATAGAAAGCTTCCTAGGCTGTCATGACTGTACAATTATATTATCTCTTCAGAGTTCAAACAGAGATCAAAGCTGATCAAAACCATTAAGTATATACAGATATGAATGAAACATGTCCTGTCAAGGGATGAAGGCCCCAGATGACACACCTTAATCTTTCATTAGCATGGCATAAAATTTGGGCAGATGCCTACATGGACATATAAAAAATTCTAATACTTGTATGCTATATCATGTTAGAATATATAGGAATGCAGTTGCAACACAAATGTAAAAAACCCTGGCATACATCTGGTTATTAGAACTGCTTAAGTGTGTACATCCAAGTTTTTATTTGTAAAGTAAATATGTAGCAGATATGTGTGTGTATACAAATGGATACTGAGTCACCTCACAACGCCATAGCAGTTCCCATGGTTAACAAATATTTAGTCTGATTTGTCTTGTGTCTCTAGAGGTGGTGCATCTACATGAGACACTTACTGTGGAGTTGCCTAATTAGCTCCACAGTAAAACATTTCTGTCTACACAAGCAGAGCTATTTGGCCAGAGTAAACTAATTAACTCAGCTGTAAGTTAGTACTGCCTAATGCAAGCACTATCCTATGGCACAGTTATTTACTCCACTACAACGCACATGTAGGTGCTGACCAGGGCTGGCTGGGGCATGAAAGTGCTACAGTGCAGGGCTGCCTGCCAGTCAGCCCTGTACTGGAGCACCCTCATGCTCCAGCCAGCCCCTCTGCAGCAAGTTGAGCCAGGGAGAAGCACCTCTGAGCTAGCAGGTTCACCCTCTGGGCCCCTTGCGAGCCAGGGTTGTGCTACCCCAGCTCAATGTGTTGCAGTCCTGGGTGCGCAAGTAAATGCTGCACCCAGGAGCATTTACACTTTAAAGAAATATGCTCCACCCACTACTGGTTCTAGTCAAACAAGACAGTGGTTGCGTGGCCAACTGCTCAGTTGTTACTGCATAGTCATTTGGTACTTGCTTAACCAAATACTAAATGACTGCGCAGTAACAAGCATTACTGCACAGTCCCGACACCACACAGTTATGTTTAAACTCTACGGTACAGTAGCAATGAGCTACTGCACATTGCTACTGCACTGTAGTAATGAGCTACTGCACATTGCTACTGCACTGTAGTGTCTCGTGTAGATGTACCCAGTGTTGAGAAGAATGGCTAACATATATTTATTTATGCTCATGTCCTGCCACCTTGTGGAGAACCTATGCCACTGCAGACACTAGCTTGGCATACTGCCTACTCTTCCTAAATCACATTAAACCCATCCCAGAAGAGTGATACAAAGGCCCCTGGCATACACTGAACTTATGTCATGATTACCAGTTAATCACTTCTTGAGTTGTTACCTGGCCACACATCAATGCAATTAATGGCATGATAAAACAAGGAAAAAGCTATATAATTATTACACTAAAAATTTATAACAATTGTGTGGCTGGCTCCTATCATACCATTAATTGAATGTGCGCCCAAGCTGGGACTCCTAGCTGCAGGGTGCACCCTTGAAGCTAGGAGCCTGGATCAGCTGATGGTTCTCAGCCTCAGGGGCACATGTCACATCCCAGAGGCTGGGAGCCTGAATCAGCTGCTGGGGATCCCAGCCACAAGAACTTGCTGTTTACCTGCGTAGGAGGAGCCTGGGTTGGTGAACCCGGGCTCCCCCTGTACTGGCAATATGGCATGATAAAATATGATGCTTGATCCTACAATCACACCTCCTGTCATGTACGTGTGGCATGTCAGGAAGCATGATTTTGGGGATCAGGCATTAGATCCCAACATGCCTTTACTTGCACATCTGCCAGAAACCAAAGGGAAAGAAGTACTCAGTCCCACAAAGCCAACCATAACCCACTGCATAGCAACTTGTCTTGTTGACAGAAGTGAATGAGTGATGTTCTGTTTTCTTAGTGCCATAATAAGCTATATTTTACATGTGCAGACTAAGGCGCCAACATTTCTCTCAATGGATGTTGATGGCCGAGTGATCAGGTCCGACTCTTTTTCAAAAATTATTTCTGCCGGGTAAGTCTGGATTCAAAATAATCTATTCTGGGTGCATCTACATGAGACATTTACTGTGGAGTTGACTAATTAGCTCTGCAGTAAAATGTTACTGTCTACATGCATGGTGCTATTAGAATGGAGTAAACTAATTAACGCTGCTGAGAATAGTACTGCTAGACACAAGCACTATCCTACGGCAAAATGATTTACTCTGTTGCAATGCACATTTAGATGCTGATGTGGTTGGCTGAGGCATGCAAGTGTTTCAGCCTAGGGACTGCCTGCCAACTAGCCCCACACTGGAGCACCCTCATGCCCCAGCCAGTCCCTCCGCAGTACATTGAGCCAGGTCAGAGTGGCATGGACTCGCAGCCTAACCCCTAGGACCCCCTGCCAGTAGGGGCTGCTCCATGCTGGCTCAACATGCTGTGGTCCCAGAGGCACATGAAAACATAGTGACTGGGAGCAATAAACTCCAGCATAAATTGTGCCAAAGTTTATTCAGCTACATTAATTTCATGTGGAGATGCACCCACTATTATTACTAAATTCTAAAATATTTTCCAGAGATTCATAATGCCCTGGTTAAAAACAGGCCTTTTTACATTTATTGCTGACACTAAAATATAGCACTCTGTAAAACATACTTTTGGTTCTGTCACAAAGGGTATGAACAGAAACACACATTGTAAGAAGAGCAAAGAGACTTACCATGGTACTTCTGAAACCAATGTAACTGTTTTCTCTGTCTGCTCCAAACTAACAGCAAGTGAAGTTATTTCCCCAGATTTCTACAAGGTTATAATATTACATTTTAGCTTCACCTACAGAAGGTTAGGAGACAAAACAGTTCAACTGGATTCAGCTGATATCTACTCTTAAGACATAAGTCCCCTCTCTCCCATTTACAACAGCATAATTGTACTTCTTTTCATATCCAAAGTTCAGGTACAGAACAAAAGTACACTAAACCTGAGGTTCCCAATCATCAGGCCGCAAAGGGTTGGCTGCAGAGTCGCACACGAGCTGTAACCAGCTCCTGGTGGTAGCGGCTCAGCCCTCGCTCACTGGTTCCTCAGATGCACTTGTCAAGTGCATGCCGGCCCCAGCCATGTTCCCCACTCATCCCTGCCTGGCCTTATCGGCCCTCACTCCCACCTGGCTCTGCTGCCGGTCCGCAGTAAAAAAAAAAGGTTGGGAACCACTGCACTACAGTGTACCTGCCTAGCACACTATTATTTAGATTCTGTTTACTAAGAACACCTATAAGGGAAGTTTTTTCTTGGGGGGTATGTACAAACATTCAGGGAAGTTAGGGGAAGTTAAAAATGGCCACCCAATCCAAGGTAAATTAGGATGGGGAAGGTAGTAGAGATAATCATTCAAGCAAAATCATTCAAGCAGTGTGATATCATCAACTGACTGCCAGGGTCATTCACAATCTAGGAGGGAAAACAAGATCTACGGGGGAAGGGGGGAATGGGGAAGATGGGGAGGGCAAGTGGGGTCCACAGGGAGGGATTAGGGGGCAAGAGGGGTCTGCAGGGGAGGGTTGTTTTACTGGAGGGTGTTAATGGTTGCCAGCAATAGTTTCTTTCATCTTTTGATAACTGCGGTGGTGGTTGAGGTGTTAGCTTTGTTAACCAGATGTTGGCAGCTCCGTGTGTCCCCCATTTTTTCTTTTTCTTTTTCTCATCTTTGCTCAAATCAGTAGTTTTGCCCACTGATGCCTAGAACATACCCAGTCATCTACTCCAGAAAACTGGATTCACCTCTAAGCTTGTACAGCTAGAACTGTGTAGTAAAACCTATGACTTTTTTGTTTTTTCTCTGCAAGAAAAATGTGTTTGGAACATGTAACTAAATTTCCACAGAAAAAAGGATTCGGTACAGTCTGTGTATTTCAGCCAATCTATTTAAAAACCAAGACCACAATTTAAGTATGTAAACTAACTAAATAGGTGCATGAATGTTCCATAAGGAACATTG